GCATATGAGTGCGTCACAGAGGCTACGCACGCATTGAACCGATTGAATCTACCTGTGAACGACCCGCTCAGGCTGAGCATGCTTGAGGTCCTCGCATCGATACATCGAGAAAAGGAGGACTGGAAAAAAGAAGAAGCAGTTCTACGCCAGGTTCTACGTGCAAAAGGGCTTTTTGATGACACACACGAAAGAAATCGAGAGCATTACACAACCAAATGCCTTCTTGTTGACAGTCTGCTCTCCCAACTCAAGCTGGATGATGCGGAAGCTCTTGCTAAGCAAATCCTGGCTTCTCATATCCAATCCATCGATGCTGACCCCGAGAACTTCATCTCGTGTGAGAGAGCATTGGCGAAGGTGCTAACTTACCGTGGACAATGGGAAATGGCAGAAACACGATACCAGAATCTTCTGAGCTCGTGCAAAACTCAACTCGGAGTAGACAACCCACTCACGTGGGACGTAACGTATTCTCTTGGGAAGTTCCTTGCGGATCAAGGCCTGTACAACGAAGCACAGGCCCACTACAATGCCATACTTCAACACTTCCGCGATACTTCCCGATTGGGCAAAGACGCCTCTGGAGTAGCACGACAACTTTCTATCGCGTACAAGGAAGCCGGTCATTTCATGCAGGCACGTAAAATATGCGAAGAAGGTATTGAGTGGGCCACGGCCACTATGAGCGCTGAACATGCCGAGACCCTAGATCTGTACAACACCCTTGTCGATATATACACGCAGATGGGGGAACTGAGTAAAGCCGAGGATCTGCACCGAACACACCTTGAGACTCAATGTCAAGGTACTTATATGGAGATCTGGGTCAAGGATCACCTCGCAAGGCTCAGAAAAGCGCAAGGACGGCATCAAGAGGCCGTGGCCTTGAAGATTGAGGCGCATCAAATGATCCTCCAGCGTCGTGGGAACATGCATCCTGATGTGCTCAAGATGGGTGGCAGCTTGCTGCAAGAAAAGATGAACAGCGGCGTGTTGTCCAACGAAGTTGTGAACGAGGTCCTGGAGTTCATCGATCTCAAAAAGCAGGTTCTTGGCGAACATCACCCATCAGTCCTGCACACTAAGAGCAATTTGGCTTATGCTTTTGCCTCAAACGAGCGTCTCAGCGAAGCGGAGAAGCTGTTCCACGAGATTATCGAGTTTGGTGATGCAGGAAGAATCCAGAATCCGCAGTTCTACGCCAGTCTACTTGCTAAAATGGCTGAAGTTCAGTTCAGAATGTCCGATTTAGAAAAGGCGGAGGAGTTTGAACGACGGGGTCTTGAATTGCGACAGCGCACTTTTGGCGACAAACACCGCTTGGTGCTTCTAAGCATGACGAATTTGGCTTCGACGCTGCATGCCCGGGGCGAAGAGATTGAGGCTGAGAAGTACCTCCGACTTGTTGTGGCGGGGTATGGGCAGCTTGCAAAGGGTGGTAACATGCAGTTGATTTACCAATACCTGAAGTCTAGGATCTCGCTTGCTGCCGTACTGTATTCTCAAAAAGTTCCTCAGCATGCGGAAGAGCTGATCGAGCTCTATACTACAACAATCCACGCAGCGACGCTCAGTGGGCTACCCACTGAGATTGTGACTGTCTGGAAAGCAGATCTAAATCACGTCTTGCAAGATGTATCGGCATCTGATACCGCAAAAGAGCTACCAGTATAAACAACATATCTTATATGTAGGAAGAAGTGATACATTACTCACTACGCGGAGCACAAACAAAGCGGTTCTTCCACCTTCTCCTTGAATAGATCATGCATACCCCGCCCCTTTTGTTCTTTTTTCACCTGTTCTTCAGCATTCAAGCAAAACTTCACCGCATCCCGATACAGTGCTCCCATCTTCTCTCCAAGCTGCGGTACATAACTCTTCAAAAGCTTCTGCCTGAAATTCTCTTGTGTCTTGATTTCAGCATGATCTTCTCTCAGAACAGAAATCGGACACCACAACCCCAATTCCAACAACACAAGGCCCAGGCTATAGTAATCAAAGATTTGTGTGAATTCTTTCCCCGCGTGATACAGTGGATGGTAGTAGTGCTTGAGTTCCTGCCGCGGACCCAACGTCACACCAGATGCCTCAGGCCTGCTGTCATTGAAGCCTGCCAGGACGGCAGATGCGACATGTTTGTGAACTGACTCAGCAGTGGGCGCGAAGACAAGAACAGAATGTGACGAAATGTTTTTGTGAAACCAGCCTGCGATATGGAAAGCTAAAAGGCACGATGCGAGGTCTTTTGCGAGCTGGAAAATGTCGCCTAGATCTGGCCGCATTGATTGTGTGCTCGTGTCTGGCATAGTCATCCGAATGACATTGTTGCAAGAATATAGTCGCATGGACATGGCGTCTCCCACGGTGCCTAGAGAGTCGAGGGGATACACAAAACCAAAGCGATGATTGTGCTGTTGGTGGAAGTACCCTACGCAGTTCAGTACTCGTTCTTTATTCACCCCCTCGCGAGGCGTGACTTCCGGATCGAGAAGATTGACCAGCGTATCCATCGTTTCTTTAAGTTGTGTCCCATGGTCCTCTTGCCAACGAACATCGTATTCTTTCCATTCTATGAGAACACGGACTTTACCATCAGGTCCAGTGTAGTGGCCCATGGTCCGGGATCGGTCTTCGATCAGCGAGATCCCGCTGACGTCTAGAGATGCTTTTGGGGATTTTTGATCGATATCGACGCATCCGGCATCTATGTAACGACTGCGTCCTCCTATGCGGATTGATTGAGAAATGACTCGAGCCATGTATCTCATCGCTACCTTGACGCCCACGGACTTGTAACGTTGTGGCTTGGACGCCGCGCGTATTGCGGCCAAAGTCTCCACGTCCTGCATCTCACAAACTTCTTGATTCCATTGAAATTCCAGCCTCTCAGATTCTTTCGGATGTAGCATGCCATACAAGGAATCGATAGCTGTGCACAGGGTTCCAAGGAGACGGTTCAGCTCTGACGGTTCTGGGCTTGAGATGGAGGCACCAGCGGATATAAGGGCGTCTCGAAGACTTCCAAGTCCAGAATGTAAGCGATTGTCAAGCGCCGAAGACAAGTGCTCAATCGCCGATTTCCAGACAACGTATCTCTTTTGCTCCAGTAGGATCAGAATGTGAATGTTCCCTTTGCGATCCTCGCCATTGAACGACAATCCCGCATATAAATTGTCGACATCATCCATTCTCGATCGACACGCCAAGTCATACAACTTCGAAGCAACATCTCGTATACAAATCCTCGTGTTCTGATTTCCAATCAACATTTTCTTCCGGACTAGATCAAGCAGAGGGCTCATGTTTCGGTCGTTTGAACAATCGACCAGTTCCGCTAGCCACTCTGAAACGCTTGGTCTTATTTGGCCATATAGATGGAAATTGTTGTCGGTGGTTGCGCCGTGAGTAGCCCGCCGCGCGTTTCTGAAATCTTCAACGCTGCGACGCTCGAGAAAGCTGGCAAGCTCCGCATAAATGCATCCCAACGCCCAAACGTCCAGAGAGCGGCCCACCATTCCGTTAGTCCAGTTGACTTCGTTGAATGCTTCGGGGCCAAGGTAATCATCATGTCCACCTTTCAACCGAGTTTTGGAATCCTGGTCATCCTCTCGCATTCTTGAAAGGCCAAAATCGGCTATCATGAATACGTTATTTTCAACCAAGATGTTCGCCGGTCGTAGGTCATGGTGATATCCAATGTGAGCAATGTCGACTGTGTTGTCGCGATAGGAGAAATGGTGAATCTTGGACAATGCATCGGCTAAGCCAAACATCTGAGTATAACACTGGCTGCGGTCCATTGTACGGGCAGCGCGTAGAAAATGTCGGAGATCTGTTTCAATATATGGAAATAGGAGGTTGTCCTTGTCGTGATGAGTGTAAGAACCAAGGAACTCGACGATGTGTGGATGACTCAGGGTGCGCAGAAGATCCAATATCTGGCGCTCATTTGAAACGCTATCGCTTTTTTGGAGCTCTTTGCGAGCAAATATCACCGTCTGTTTGCCTGTTAGACACGGAACACAGGAGAGATAAAAATCTTTTCTTCCCTTTCCGGAGTCAGCTGCGATAGGAAATAGCTTTTGGCAGTCAGAAAATGTCTCGACTCTCCACACTTTTCCGAAGCCGCCTTCTGCTTTCTCTTCTTCAGAGATGAATGGAAGCACATCCTTGCTTCGGAGAGTTCGATGGATGACGCCGACTTCAAGTATAACGGGATTGAAATGCGACTGCCAATCTATAAAAGAGGAGGCGGCTACAACAGGCAAGAAGTATAGCCCGGCCTGGTTGTATGGTAACTTGAGGTCCGTCTCCCTTCGATAGAGAAATTCCAGGATATGCTCTTCGTCGCCATTGAAAGCCAAGATGGCAAAAACTTTTAAACTCGTCTCTCGTATTAGCGACGTGAAGCGGAAAACATCACGCTTATTATCACGAAGGGATGGGAACTGGCTTAAGCATCCGCGGATGTTGTCTTCTGTGAGAAGCTTGTTTAGCTCGAGGTGTTGAAAATAGTAGCCTTGTCCTCTAGCAACCTCTTTGCGCAAGGACAAAAGCTGTTCCCGCAGAGAAACCATACTGTGGCGGGATCGACAATCCAGGCGGACTGTGGTATGCCTGCAAGCGAAGAAGTGTTCGCAAGATCGAGTTGGTCAAGAACAGATGGTTGAGCTGAGTGGGAAGCAGTAAGCTCTGAGTTAGTGTTAAGGCGCTTCTACGACCTATGTGATAAGCTTATTTGATAGAGTACGGCAAGACTCAAAGCTCGTTATGGGTTAGCGCTCACACGTCAGTCCAACAACACCTACATTACCGACACAAGTGACAACACAGCAGACAACATTATCCAGAATGTCGGTCACGCTACTCCGTTCGGCTCCGAGTTTTAGTCTGCCGAGTAGTTGCATGACCGCGGGCTTGGCGCGCTTCCATCGCACAAGCAAAAACTTCACCACCACCACAACGACCACCCTCTCGAGGCATCGAGGGAAGCAAAATGCATCGGCCGGGAATCGAACCCGGGGCTAGCCGATATTGTCCAGTGAATAGATGGCAACGGCTAATTTTACCACTAAACCACCGATGCGATTCACGGTTCTCATAGTTGAAGACCTGTTTCCTTGATAAAATCATTCCGAAATTTGAAACTTATATTCTCAATTCACAAGATTCACCATCTGCAGCGTCAATATCACTGTTTCCAGCATTCAGTGCTGGTTTTCGAAATAACACTCTTTCGTCGTAATTTTCGCGTTCAGGATGTAACTTTTCAAAACTAAGCTTACGACTTCTGGCTTGGCACAGTGAAGAACGATCGCAGAAACTGACTTTTGGAAAGCCAAAACTGAGATCCCGACAACAGGATGCCAGTACATGGGCAACAATAAGCCTGCGTCTTAATTCATATTGCACAAACGGTTATTCGTAAGCCATGCACAGCAGGGGCAGGGGAATATGGCTCCATCAATCACTTCCTGTCAAACACCACACACAGCGAGAACTCAATTTTTGGAATTCAGTCGTATTTTCGTGCTCAAACAGTCGCTCTTGACGCCAATTGACTAGCCAGCACCCAGCCGCAGCAGCCCACTGCGTCTGAAGTGCCATGGCGACACCGTGGCCCCAGCAGCCCGCATGGCCAACCCCATTCCGTGAGCATGCTACACGCCTCAGCACCTACCTTCAGGACGCACTGAGCTGTATCGATCGCACGCAAAGCCAGCCTGTGCCGGTAGACCTCGTCAAGGTCATCATCCACGGCACGCTGACATTCATACTGAAAGTGCAACACGCGCCTGACCTCAGCACGGTGTGCGACTCGCTTAACATCCTGCAAACTGAGGCCAAAGCGTCTTCAGACAACGCCGCGCAAATGCTTGAGGCCGT